AATTACATACACCACCTTTAAGGGGAAGCTTTGTGTCTTGTTGCACACACCGAGTTCTAATAATAGGAAATGAGAATCGTCTCTTTCATGCATCGTCATGCTAGTCCATTTCCCCCCCCCCCCCCCCCAGTATTAAGGTTTAGTTATAAAGAGTATACTCATATTCTGGGTCCTCGGAAATTAATCTAAATACTGTAAGTGATATTTTCAAAAACAAAGAAATCTGCTCGTGAGTTTTTTTCAGTTCTTGATACAGACATCAGCTTTAATATTTTAACAAAAAACTATATTTATTGACAAAGAATTAGCACTATAAAGATGAAATTATTTTTATATTATTATAGCTGTCACTTAAAATGCAGCAATTCTATCAAAGTCAGTTAACTACCATTGATAGTAAAAATGTGCAGTTTTCAAAAATATAAAATGATTAACCCTCAAATGTTACCTGTATGATCATTTGGAATGTAATATACAGATAACCTACATATTTAGGTGTAGTTGTTTTCATTAAATCTGTTTTATCTCACATTTAAACATGCAGTGAGCAGTTCAGATGAAACAAAAGCGAAAGGAAGCTTTACTTTGCGCCACATACACCCACCCTCTGTATATTTATATCATAAATCACTGCAAAATAAATTCCCCAAAACTTCAAACAACACAGAGTCACTTCGGTTTCAGAAGAATTCGTGTTTCTTAACCTAGAATTTGACACACCCATTTTGTTATGAGTATAGACGAGCATAAAGTAGTACAAATTGACAGGAACACTAATTAAAATGCACAAGAACCTGTTTGATGTGACTCAAAAAAACAGCCAGTCAGTAAAAGCTGTAACAAGGTTCATATGAGGAAGTGGATTCTGATCAAATGTAATGGAGTTTCACATTCAACACAAACTGCCTTCAACACATCTTTCACCTCTCAGATGATAACTCAGTCAGAGCTCCATTATGGACAGCAAGAAGCACTTAGGCAGATCTATAGTCTGTAAGCATCTTCTCTCTCAGATGGGACAAAATAACCAGCACTCACCACGGTACGGCTTCTGGCAGATGTTGTCCTGGGATCCTCCCCTTACCCAACTGTCATCAGCGTCCCGTTTGGCTGCCACTTTGCCGCCGCTGACCGCCAGGCCCATCTGATAAACGGTGTAAACAGCCCCATCCAGGCAGCGCCACCACAGCAGGATGTTGGAGCCACAGTCGGCCAGGTACAGCGACTTGGAGCTCACGTGGAACGCTAAGCAGAGGGACGAGTCTAAGTGGAACAGCCGATGACCTGAACCCCACTTCCAGCGCTGGGACTTGCTCTTTGGGTCACAGGAGGCGAGACTCAATTGTGTAGAAAAATCCAGACAGCCGTTTGAGTGCTGGATGGAGAAAGCATCCTCGTCTGCGGTGATGGGAAAGAAATTGAGAACATTACAGTTTGAAATCGGACAGATTTTGTTACCATGAAGATGCAGAGGGTATTGGTTTTCCAGTCTATAGTGATCGGTGCATTATTGTGATCGTGTAAGGCCATCAGGACACAATCACATACTGAGATCCATAATACAAATTCAAAAAAACTCTAAATACTTACAGCAGCTACAATTAAGTATATCGAAATAATTTCTTTTAGGAGGATTTTAGAAGGGGAGACCACACAACTAATGGCAATTTTCTTATTTCCCGTTATTGTCTTTTACTTCCTTTAAATTGGGAAGAGATTGTCTTGCCAAAGAGATTATAAAGAATATTTGTAATAGAAGTTGGTGGACATCATAAAATAAAATACATGTTAGAGCCACCCTAAGGAAATGTCTGCAGGTTAACAATGATGGCTGGCCTGCGTTTGTCAACAAAGTAAACGCTATGGAGAAACTGCCCATCAATCTGAGGATTTAACTAAATGTAAAACAGTGGAAATAATTGACTTGAACATATTGGCACTATATTAAAAACTCACACTTGAAGGTCGTGTTTTAAGGTCAATTCCAGAATAAGATACGACACGTAAAAACGAAAATGAAAATAAAAAAACATCGTTTGCTTGGGTAATCCAAAGTCACTTGAATCAATAAAACAATTAACAGTAAATAGGGGCATATAATAACCTGGGTGAATATGGGTAATAACAGCTCAATATGGAGCATAAAGACGCACTGTAAACTGTATCTCAGCCGACATGATAGACTACACATGACTCCCACAGAGCTACTATGGGGAGGGGGGTTTGAGTATGCAATTCGCTCGACCTGTCAAAATATGACCAAGCTTAAAACTAACTGGGGGATGGGAACAAATTCAAACTTCTAACCAAGTCCTGAACTAAATGCTGTGTTTTGTGTGTGCCGTGTGACTGCGGCAGGTTTGACGCTATTGTCCTCGGACTCATTGTCGCGCTTCTGTGGACGAACTTAATATCATGCAGAGCCGAAAAACTGAGAGGCAGAAACGGCTTTGCAATTAAGAAAAAGGACACAGAAATGAAAGCAAAATGTCGGAGTAGGGTGAGGTAGGTAACGTTACTTACCGAAACCTTTAAGGTTAGCCTCCGATGAGCAAGTTCCCAAGAAAACAGTTCCCAACACAGTCAACAAACAAAGGCAAAGTGTGGATGTGTTCAGCATGGTGACGGCAGAGTCTCTTTGTTCGATTCATAAAGAATCTGCCCTCTCGGAGTGTTGAACTGGGAATATAGGACGATCGATACATGAACTACAGTGTGAAAGTGTTCAGAGTCTTCAGACAACTAACCTAGCCCAGTTTTACCAACTGTCAGCTGTGTTATCCGGACTCCGGAGTCCCGCTCCGACCCCGCTGTGAAGTTGTACCCGGCACGAGGAACACACACTTCCGGCTAAACCTACAAAATAAAATGAACAAGTCACTATGAGTGAGAGATTTAAAAATGATTGTTATGATGTTTATTTGTTTTAGATTACAATTGTTATTATACTACATCATGTATTCACTTAGTTATCAAAAGCAGGCGTATTGGTATAGGTCTTCTGTAAATGATCTGGCTGCCAAGAAAAAACACAAAAATAAAGCAAAAGAAAATGTAAATGTAAATTATGACAGTAAGTAAGAAACTTCAGATACTGCTCCATAATAACAACTTACCTAATCAATCTTATGGTTGCAGAAACACAGTTAGACCACTCAAAATGTCAGTTAATTATGAGGCAATACCTCCAAAAATACAAGTTAGATGTTAAGGCAAAATTGCAACTTACTGGGTCAAATGATTTTGAGTTAGTAGATACTATCAAATCAAACTAAAATTAAACTTGTGTTTTTAAGTATGAATTTAATGCCCCTTGTAGCACGTTTGGACTGCTTTTAGCAATGAAAGGTGCTTTACAAATAACATTTATTATTATTATTCAAATTAGATATGTCAAAATTATTGATTTGGCCTTCTACTGTAAGCCAATAATGACGTATTCAAATAAGCATTTTAAACGACATGCCAAGTTTAGGTTTTACTATGGAGTACTTTAGGAAGCCTTTTGTTAAACCTTGGCCAAGGGCCCTCGAACAAATGTCATTTTGGCAAATTCTAGCATTTTAGTTTTACCATGTGTAGGCTTTTATTATGTATCACTGTCCCTTCTTGGAATATAATAGAATTTCTGAAATACTACATCAAAACAACATGAGGGTCAAAGTAAAACTCAGGACATTAAATCAAACACAATTTGGAGATATTAGTGAAAAGTATTAATAAAAGTAAAATACATTGAGACACATTTTAACCAGATCACAACTTTGACTTTGTATCTCATTACTTTTTTAACTGAGCATATAAACATTTTGAGTTTGAGGCTATTTCATAAAATATACTTATTTAATGATTTTAACAGCAGATTTCACGAAACGCTTTTATTTTGAAGGCAAAATTAACCCTTTTCCGTCTTTGCATTGTTTCGCACTTCTTGCGGGTGCCTGGGTTCCTCCGGTCCTCCCCTTGAAATTCCCAGAAAGCCCGGACATTTTCTCAAATTACCCACTTCACGCCCACTCGGTTGTTTCTGTCAACTGAAACGCCAGCATGTTGTTTTTCAAGCACCATTCTGCAGTGAATTGTTGCTGCGTATTAATAATTTATTTTGAAGGCTGCGTAGTGCGTACAACGGCACTTACAGTAATGTTTGTATTTGTAAATGTAACATTTGGTGTGAATTATTGATCACCTTACATCCTGACAATGACAAACTGTCAATAATAGCTGCACTTTGCTCTCATTTTCTCCCTTTCTATATGATGTCCAGCACTAACACCTATTTAAGACAATCTAATGGCCTGCATATCCAGATCAGCATTAGGTGATTTATATATTTTTACACAAAGGCCTTCAAACTCAACATTATTTCCTGGTAGACTAGGATCCACTTTATTTAGTTTTGTCTTGTCAGTGATATAGGCCAAGTCACTGCAATGTGAAGATGAAGCACTAAGGATAATATTCAAGGTGCAAAGATAAGTTATATAATTTCAAAGAAAAAATATCTTATTAAATGGAGCTGCTTAAACTGAACATAGAAGACCAAAAAGCAGTCTTGTTTTAAGTATATATTATAGTTTTTGTTCACATAAATGTTTTTTAGTGTCTCATATCAGAATTTATATTCGACTTTATAGTGATGATGGTAAAACAGTAAAAGCAAGGCGGTATTATTTTTACCATCTCCATTAACGACGAGTCGCCTAAGTTGTTAGCAAATGACTAAAACTGCAAAAGAAAATTGACCCGGCAAAGCCTAAGAGCTATAGTACATAGTTCAATATTCTTAGTGATTTCATATCTGTTATTTTGTAATAAGGAATAAGGATGTTCTAGGAGGAAATGGCCCCTTTTCAGGTTTTACTATGTAGACATTCTGCAGTCCTATTGGAGTAAAAAAGTGAAGTCGTTTTATGGTCTGAAAATGGGAAATGAATTCACTGAAGATTTCCTCTTTTCCTCCGAATTCTCTGTTATGCACACAGTGATGACACATGAACTCTTAGGCCTAACTTGGATTTATTAAAACACAAAGAAAATTGTGCAAATATACATTACATTTTGTTTTGCATCAGAAGACAAAAGTGAAAATGAGAGCAAATCCAATCATCAGTTATGCCATACACATTTTCTGTTAGTCTTTAACATATAAAAGGACACTTTTTTTTATCTATATACAGCATGGTTACTTAAAAAAATAAAATACAAATACAAAAGTAATACTGACAACATTGCTGTACCAAGTGCGCAGCTCCAACAACTCCTGAATTCTAAACAAGATACACAAAATTGTATCACAAATATGACTGTAGTTTCTATTTTGGCATCAATCTGTCTTTTATTTATGTCAATGGAAAATACATTTGGCAAGTAAACCAATATTCTCTTTTACAGTACCTGTTTGAACCTTGTTGAGAAAACCTTTCTGCATTATTCAAATCATCATCATTTTCCTTTATACCGTTTTTACCAATTGTAACTTATTTAAATTCTTATACAATTGAATTATAACAAGCATAGAACAAGTGTTCAGTACCTCTTCTAACATTTGTTAAGCTCTCAAACATCCCTTCTTCAACACACTCACTCATGTGAACTTTGTTAGTCTTGACATTTCAATGTTGGCTCTTCAGTGTCAAACAACCAAAATCTTCTCATAGGTTTGTCTCATTTAAACGTTTTGAATAATTGCAAACTGTTGCGACCAACTGTGGTTCCTTCAAGCACATTTTCTAATTACAGAAGGAAAAGTCAACATGTCACCACTGTCCTGAGGATTCACAGCTGTACAGTCATGTGGCATTCATACCTGATGGTGAAATTGTGAGAGACGGACAGAGACCTAAAGGAAATCATTGAGTGCTATTCTCCTGAGGGAGCCTCCAGGTCTGTAATAAGCACATTTCCATCCGACTCTGTGGCCTGTGAGCTGGTTTGTCTGTAATAAGCGCTGCCGAGTGTAGGAAGCCTGCGAAAACGTGAAGCGCTCCTCTTGTACACAAACCACATCGCTCCTGCCAGCAGGGCAAAGATTAGAACAGCCACTAGCACCGCAGCGGGGATGACACCATGGTGTAAACCTAAAACACACAACATGAGAGCTTATGTGAAGTCATATTATTGTTTTCAAATGTAGTCTATTGGAACTACACTTGGCAGTGGTGGAAAAGGTATTCAGATCCTTTATTCATCAAAAGTAAAAGTAGTCATTGTGAAGTAAAATGTTCCCTGTTAATGTTGCACAAATATATACTGTACTTTAGTAAATTACACCACTGTATATTTGTCAAATGCATCACATTTTATAACAGATTATGTTAACAATGAATTTGCACATTATATCAGACTGTATCCTCACTGAGCTTCTACTGAGCACAGCCCCACAATGTGAAACTAAATGCTCATGGCCCCTAGCCAGAGTGTAATATGTTCAAATTGAAGTGCACTTACCATTCAGCGGTTCCACTTCCACCTCGGTAATTATATCTGCAAAGAACACATACAGTGAAGTTTAATTTTTCTTATAATGTATCAACTTGAGTAATCAGATCACAAGGTCTGAGCACAGATGAAAATTGAGTCAATGCTATCAAGTGTGATTTTGTTAAAAAAGAAAATGGTGCAACCACAATTAAAACCTGTTTAAAAAAAAAAACCTTATTATGCTAATTCGTATTTCCAGCTATGTTGTCAAACTTGAATGTGTGTGCAACTGTGAAACTTGTCATACATAGCCATATTGTAGATCGTATCTTTCTGTGACAAGCACAGACTTGGTTTTCAGAATGTTAAACTGAAATCTAAAGCTCTAAAAAGGTAATGAACCTTAAACATCTTTGTGCATACAGTTGCAAAATTAGTGGCATTGTTGAAATATCTTCCGGGCCTTTCTGGAATGGTAATGTTTTTAATTTGCACTGTCCACTTTGTCTCAGTGGTACCATATAGTCAAACAACAATGACACATCACTCTATAATCAATTTGGAGATCTACAGCGACATAAGCAATTCATCAAATATTCCAATATGTTGTACAAGTTTAATAAAGGGCAACAAATATTCTTTCAGATTCCGTATGAACCTACCTGAGGTGGTTTTGCATACAAAGCCGAGCCTCTCGTTGCACTGGGACAGGTGCCACACTCCATCCACCACCCTGGTAGTGACACAGGCGTCAGCGGTCAGCAGCTTGGGGTCCGGGGCCTGGTTGAGCCAGTTGGTGTAGTCTATGGGTGACCCGTCTACCCAGGCCATAGAATCAGCTAAAAGCAGAGGCAACAAATAATGAAATGGGATTTTGGGGGATGTGATCACTTGATGGGTATGAGAGTTATAGATTCTTACTGTCAATGTTAAAGTACATCCCCAACCACACAGTGTGGTGGAGGAACCCCGACGTCCACAGCTGCTCCAGAACAAAACGATTCTCCGTCTCACTCTCGATGGTCAGGACATCCGAGGTGTTTACTAGAAAGACAGAAGCACAAAACTCACAACTACTGTGCAGTTGAAATAAACAGTTTGACATTTTGGGAAACTCTCAACAAAGGAAAGAATAAAGCATATTTCCCCAAAAGTCCAACTATTCCTTTTCTTTACCAAATCACAGACATTTGAGATTTTCTATGTGAGCATATTTTGATAGGTAATGTAATGATGAATGTAATATTTATTTTTGTTTTTCACAAAGATTTTCATTTAGCTGCACTTGGAAGTCCTTCTTCCCGCTTTAAAATGAAACTCTGGTATAGAGGATAAAGTCTAAAGCAGGATTTTACTATATACACATGTATATTTCCACTAAGTGACAGTGAAAATTACACTAAACGAGTTTTTTAAACCCTTCAGATAAGCTCCTGTATTTGACCTCTAGGGGGAGTATGTATACCATCCTGCAGATTATACTGACTTAATATATTTTCCACTTTTTCAATCATAATATTGTCTACCAATTTCTACGAAGATGAGGATTACAGAAAATTCACACCTCATAAATCCTTACCTTTCTGCCTGCAGTGCTCTCTTGACTCTTCAAATGTGAGTTTCTGCACCACAGGCTCGAAGCTGTAACAGCCATGTCCGAATTTCACCCATGTTGAGGGGCACTCCAACTCATATGAGATAAATGGTTTACTGCCTGTTAGAAAGCAAGAGAAATGGTTTCACACACTCTGAAGGACAGAAACTCAGCAGCTGAAGAGGTGCAGTGTCAAGCGATCAGATTTTCATTGAAGATGCACTGACTTGGTGGGGGAACATGACACAGGGCTCCTGGTAGCGGAGTTTCACAGTCAGCTCTGCGCCAGCCTCCGGTCACGTCCATGTACACACACTCTCCCGTCACAAAGTCGTCATCGTCTTCGTCCGCGTCCCAGTGTGTGTACACTGTGTCGCTGCCATCTGACCACTGATAATTGATGCCACTCTGTAAGGGAGTCGTCAGTGAAAAAGTTACACTTGTGGTAGCACTTTAAAACTCAACACTTATTCCACACGGACCTCTGACTGTATTTGCTGTATTAAATATTGTGCAACTATGCTTACATTAGGTTATTATTTCAATGTATTGTACTGTAAAATACCTGCACAAGCTGTGGTATGTATGAAGTGGCACTTTTTGATGTATTTTATAGTTTCCCTATGTATTTTTCCCATTACTAAGTTGTATTTAAGCATAAAGAAATCTTCACACCCACTCACAATTGTTGGTTCCTGATTGTGCTTGCTGAAATACTGTATTTTAAATAGTTTTTCTTCTACTTTAGCGGCATCACAAACTGTAAAATTGAAATATTTTAACATCTTAACAAATATTACAATGTATCAAATGGAACATTTGAGGATACTTAACTATGACTATGATGTCACTAAACTATGATAACAATACTACAGATGTTTGTTAGTGTTAATATAGCATGGTTACTGTATTATTAAGTGCGATAAAAGTGAAAAGAGTAAGATGATTGGTTCATTAGACAGACATAGAAGAAGATCAAGGCATAATTTAAAAAAGGAAGAGAGAGGCAGAGAGGGGAATCTTCTCCCTCACTTCCCATGTTCATTTCTCTCCATGACTAAGACATTCCACGGGGGCTCAGCAATACTTGAATCCAAATGTTAACGCTCTGAATGTCTGCTGGGAAACCAAATGCCTGCCAGTGGCATACCTCTTCATGGGCAAAAGGCCAGGAGAAACCCCTGAGGCATGTGAGACAACTGTTACTATCTATTGGCGGGCTTCTATGTAATACAAATAAAACTGGAGCACAAAGTTGACATTAGGTGTCCATTTAAAGAATCTTTTAGGACCTTGTATACTTTTTAACTAACATTACCGTAAAATGTGTTCACATATTAGGATAAAATGTCAAGCTTTTTTGGTCTTACTGTAAGCTTTCTGTGTGTATCTTTTTCTTAAAATAAACAAAATGCTTTTGGTGAGGAAGACAAAAAGCACATTCAAAGTAATAACTACCAATTTCTACAATTCATGCTAATGTTGCAGTATTAGTTTAGGGAAATATGTTTGTGTGCTTTCTTGATGAAAATATAAAAACCATGTTCATGTCTGCCTGTTAAATATTAAACTACAACTAGTAGATGATTAGCTTAGCATAACATAAACACTTACAGCAAGACAAAACGGCTAGCTGGGAGTCTTTTCGTCCACATGACAGTGAGAATAAGAAAGCAATTATAGCTAAAGTGTGGCACACACCTCCCTGTGAACTACAATGTGTTGTTTACGTTACGAAAATGTCAGCAAGGCTAGTAGTCTCCCCCTTTTCCAATCGTTATGCTAAGCTAGCTGTAGCTATATTACAGACATGAGAGTGCCATCAATCTTCTTATCTAATACTGAACTTCAAAAGTGTATTTCCCCCAAAAAAGATTTCCTTAAAAGATTAACTGTATAAAAAGCAGTCAAACACACACACAATTCCACCTCTCCAATTCACACATACAGCAGACACACACAGTGCAGGAGTATATAGTACATATAGAGGATACATACGTCTTGACTATATAGTCCAATCCAGTGGGGGACTGCCAATCTATTGACAAGGACAGTAAGGAAAGCCTGGTGGTAGGCATCTGTAACGCTCACTAGGTCAGAATCATTCTCTATGCACATATGCATCGCGTCGTACCAGCTCATGTTGCCGGACACAACTTTGTAGCTGCGGCTGCTGTACTCAATATTGTCAGGGAGAGGGTGAAGATAGGAATGGGTGGGGGGTTTGGATGTATCTGCAACAAGAAAAAAAGGACAAAACTAAAAGGAGTGTGGGAAGAAAGGTAGAGTGATTACTTTAAGGTGTTAATATTTGGGAAAGTACACAATTAAAGGATGACTGATTAGCTTCACTCACTACTCTTATAGATGAGTAGTAAGAAAGATTGTAAAGGCAAGGCATAAGTATTTGGAAATGAGAGAAGGAAGATTTATTTGCATTCGAGAGGAAGCTAGAAAAAGGGAGAATTAAGTAGATGTTTTGTTACTAAATAAAACTAATAGCATTATATTTATTTTAACATTTCAAAAAAATATACTCTTCTCATTGTTGCCCTTAAGCCTTAAATCCGGTTGCTCTTATGAGGCAACAAGAAATTCTTAAGAAACAGTTAAACTTATGTATTTTTGTTTTCACATTTCATTTTCCTGACAGATATACAGTAAGAGTGGTGTTGAACTTAACAACTAACTTTTGGCAAGAAAAATAATAGTTTATAGTGAATTTTCACAAATTGTCAAACTATTTATTTAATGTGAAGAATCAGAGCTATCAACTTGCTCGATTAAAGTTATATCACAATACACTTGCAAATCACTGTGACAAGGGGAGAAGTTAAACCACTGGAGATCAGCAAAAAAAAAATTATTTGCTGATAAGTTACTCATAACTGTCAGGAACAAAAACACCAAGAATTTATTTAGAAATGATAGAGAATAAGTCATAAGAGAAGTGCATGAGAGAGAAATCTTAGAGTGGTCTGACAGTAAAAGACAAAGACAGACATGCTAAAAAGCAGTCAGAGAGGCAATGAAAGACAGACAGTGACAGCATAAAACCAAAGAGAAAGACACTGAGGGATTCTTACCTTGAGATTTCTGACAAACAAAGCCGTACCCGCTCTCACTGCACTTCTCATCGTACCACTTCCCTGTCAGGTGAAAGTTGTGATTGTTGGACAGCACAGTGCACAACGGCTCATCAGTAAATCCGCTGAGCCACTCATTTTCCTGGGGTTCACAAAGCACATATCAATACACAAGAACACATGCAAAACCATATACAAAAGCACAATTATGACACTGGACTCTTTTCATTTACACTGCTTTTTCACCCAAATACGTGTGTGTTTGCACAGGTCAAATGGTGGTTACACATTTGATCACATTATATTGTCACCCGATACAGGTCAACAATTTAATGTGATTTATGTGACATGGATGAATTCCAACTTTTCCCAGTTCCTTTTTATGCAAGTGTAGCAAAGTTGGAGGAGTTATTTTTATAAAAGTAGTGATTTGTTTTCTGCACAGACAAACTCATGTAATCATCACTTAGAGCACTTACTAGGCTTGGATGTATACAAAACTCTCCAAGTTGAATTACTTGTTTATTTGTTTTTGTATAAAAAAGTATAGGCTTTTGGATAACTCTAGCAACAGTGCTTTATTTATGGTTATAATGCCACAGGATTTTAAGCTATCTTTTATAAAACACTGACAGAAAAAACATGGTTTATCAGAAACAAAGTTGATATTGCTTAACAAAGTGATAAACCAATGTTATTTTTAACCATGCTTGATTCTTGTGTCACTGGGAATTCAGTCTTAATTCTTCTGTAAACAATGGCTTCTCATATATCAGTGATGCATTTTCTTTTGTATACAAACACACATTTGAGCCCAAAGATTAAGACTACATTAAGCAGTATTCTCAGAAGCTTACAGTGAGGTAGCTCTTTGGTTCAATTGGAGACCAGTTGGTGTAACTGACTGTTTTCCCATTGGTCCATTTCATAGTGTCCTCATCCCGCAGACCAATCCACACACCGACAGAGCTTCCCTGGAGCAACATGGTGATGTATGCTGCAGAAATGACGGCATGACACCAATAACAAAAAAAAATAAAAACAGAGCAGTATTCCTTTCTATTTTCCTACCAACATTGCTAGAGAGAAAGACAAAAACAAAGTGATGTGTTTTTATTTGAAATTAGCCGTTCTTCATTGGATGGTTGTGAAGCCCACTTTACCTTGTTCAATCTCGTCTTCGATAGCCACCAACGAACCATCGAAGGAAGAACAGATGGACCGGGCATCCTTCCAGCTCTTTCCCTCCTTTGGGCTGTCAATGATGTGAAGCAGGAGACACTGCCAACACACACACACACACATATTCATCCCACACAAAACATGAATATCACAAAAAAATGATTATCTTATGACCACCAGGACTTGTTTGGTGAGGTCAGGATTCAAAGTTTGAAAAAAATCTAAGCAGATTGTTTTTCTAGGATAGACAGAGAGTTATGTCATTTCACTATACTGGTGAAACATGAACAGTGTGAGACTGCTTTGAGGACGAGAAGAGATGAAGCAAGAGCTGTGCTTCTTATGATTACATGTTGAGGTAAATTATGTAACTTAACACAAAGCATTACGATCTTCACTATTCAAATCCAATGATGTTGAGCTTAAAAGGCCACTGATATTTAAACCAGTTAGAAATTGTTCCATTTAAAGCGTAGAGGTTTGAGTTGTCAACCGTGAACAAAATACACAGTTAAGGTATGTATGGGGATTCTTGTTTTATCCACATTTAAGTTTAATCGGGGTTGGCTTAAGCATTATCAGCAGGGGGTTATTCTTATTGTCAACCTAACTATCTCAAGAACAGTGAATGTCAACACAAACATCCTGCTTCAGCCCAAGAGGCAGCTGGGAATTTAGAGAAGAGACAGTTCAAGAACTGACTTTTGGGAGAGAACAAGACAAACTTAGCCTCTGTGACCACAGAAGAATTACAGAACAAATAAACTAACAAATGCGTTTATCTGATGTGTGTTTCAACAGAGTGTGTGTCCAAGTATGTTTCTGAACCTTGTGTCCAAAGTACAGCCATTTCTCCGGACATCCTCCGATGTAGTGCGGCTCCCTGGGAGTCTCCACCACAGACACAGTCTTTCTCTTGCAGACGTAGCCGTTGATATCCCTGCATTTACTCTCCGACCACTTCCCTGTAACGTACCAGGACAAACACATTATAGTATGTGCAAGTAACATGCACCATTTGAAGTTTTGAATGTGCATGTGTTTACCTGTTGAAGAGGACATGGTGACACACATCCTGTTGCTTGCGCCCCCACCGGCTCCCCTGTCTGCCCAGTTCTCAAAGTCTACCTCTGTCTTGTCGCTCCACCTGCAAACAAACACACTGGTTTTATTGAACTTGCCACACAAGGCTCTATTGTGATTTGTTTGGGTAGCAATTCAGTTTAGGGTCATTTGTATTTATTTTTTTGCATTGGGTAATTTTGTTATACTTCTTTGTTAAGCAACACCTGGAAGCCCTTTTTCTTTTGTAGCTGGGCTCTATTTCTTATTACATGTATTCAGTTCAAGTTAGTTTAAACAATTTGCTCTTCAGTTGGCGTTTTTTTGCGTTCTCTGAGGGCTCATTTTACCAAATTGCCAATATGCAACATGAGATCATTTCCTCTTGCTCATTTTGGCATGTTTCCCTGCTCAAAACACTACCTGCTTAACCGTGCATGAGCATCAAAAGCCGTGAATTACCTCTTCAATTTGTAAGTGCTGCCGCCATTCGAAACTGCTGGAAAAATGTTGTTCTGATCCAGGTCTCTGGGTTATAACTACATCAATGTGTACTCGACATGTTGAACAAAGTGTAGACAGCTCAAATAGAATCAATGGCAGCAACCAGAAGAGTTTAACAAAGTCCAAACAAAACCCACCTGGCCCCCTCTCCAGGCTGCCCAGTGGACAGGCCGATCCACCACTCTGTCGGGCCCAGGGAGAGCTGAGGAAAAACAGTAAAAGGAACAAAGATGAAAAAAAAACGTACTTGACTTTTACCCTCCCTTCCAATCCAGTCCTCACTAGGCCGGAAGACCAGCTTTTCAGAGCCTCTCTTAACATGAGCAGCCATTCAGGCGCTCTCCTTTGCCCGTGCCTTGCCTCTTTCATCGCCTTGTTTTGTTCTTTTATCCCCTCACAAGCCTCAACACCACAAGAGACTTCTTTAATCTGGTCCGAAAGGCTGCAGCCAAAAAAACAGCCTTTTTCTTACTCCCTGTGTGTGGGAGCACTCGAGCATGAATGTGTCAGCACATGAGGTACATTTTAGCTCGGTCTGCAAACACTCAAGTTTGTATGAGTGTGTCAATTGTGTTCACGCTTGCTCTTGCACGTGTTTATTTTTCACTGTGTGTGAACTGTTAGGATAGGCCTATTTGGCCATTCAATGGAGAAGCCTCTATGGTTAAGTGCATTGCTTTGGCAAGTGTACTCCTGTGCTCACTGAACACCAAGAACACAAAGTCTTTATGTCCCACTGCCCCTGGCATCATTTTGGTCACAGCAATTAGATGGTGGGATATTTGTACTCGGAAAAAGTAAATGCATTTTCTTGATTATGTTGTAAAAATGGTGTCACTTTAACCAACCTAATTATACTACAGTATACCGTTTTTAAAAGGGGACGGTGACAAAAAGGTATATGCATGTTTAGTTGGTGGTAAATAAAATGTAAAAAAGAAGATTTTGGTAAAGTAGAAATTATCATCACAGTAGTGTTGTATGCTTCCATCTCAAAGTGATTATAAAATAGATTTGATCTTCAAATCAATTTACTATATGGCAATACTGAAATTCTGCATGAGCAGGGGTGGCAGTGACAGACCCTGTGCAGGCGCTCCTTGACGAAGTGCAGCTCCTCTCTGGAGTGCACGGACAGCAGGTAGGCTCCCATCATCTGACAGGCCAGAGACACGGAGTCCCAGTCAAAGGGCTGCTTCGCCAGCAGGTACTCCGCTCCATGGTAAAAGACCCAGGGCTCGCTCTCTGAGGGGCAGCAGGGCAGACCACTTTAATACCTTACACATTACAAGTAATGAAGCGTAGATATATTGACAGATATAAAATGAATGAATACATTTATAAAAACATGACATCTAATAACGTCATTCCACTTTGTGTTGACAGAACTAAATTGTTCATAAAGCTTGTAGTTGCCAGAAGTAATTAATTACATTTAAATTATACTTACGCTCATTGTACCAATAGGGTTTCATCAGTTTATCCCCTGTAAAAGAAATAAGTTAATTTTATTTAAAAAATTCAAAAGTTCTAACATTATAAATTAATAAAAACATTGCTGCTCCGGCTTCAAGCATGGCCACCCAACCTTTTGGTAAAGATGGCAGTGATGGGTGCTGTTTTGATTACCAGGATAATGCAAAATGATGCAAGTGTGACAGTTTTTACCCCTGGACATCTTGCAGATCCACTCGTGTTTGGCCTCACAGGGCTGCGGCATTAGAGCGTTGGTCAGGTCGCTGTACACAGCACAGTCCCTCCGGTCATCCTCATCGTTCTTATCCTCTATGAAGGACGTCTCCACCTGCACCGAAACACACAAGGGAAAACCATATGGCATGCATCCTCTGCTAATTAGTGTGGTTTGTTTTTTGAACATCTCTGTGTACTTACAGGAGAACCATCAGACCACTCCCAGGCTCCGGGATGTTCAGGGTCTCTCTTATTAAAGCCCACCCAGAACCAGCGACCCTCTGTTCTAAAAATAGAGGAGCAGAACAAAAACACTGCAACATAAGTTTATCATAGACAGTATTTTAACATTTTGGCTTTGACAATTGTTGCTAATTCAATTCATGCCATGTCATTTTGATTTCGATTATATCCTGAAACACACAGGAGGTGGGCAGACAAAGCAATATCTCTCATCACTTTAAAATAATGTTAATAGTCTTTCCATTTTAATTGGAATTGTGGTGAATAATTTCACACGGGAAATAAAAAGAAGAAAATGCTATTTTTTGGGCAAATCCAATTAAAGTATTATAAAAATAAATGTATTGTATATGCTTCCCCATTGTGACCTATCACACACACAGATACCATGTGGCCAAATAATGCTTTTGATCTGTCCTTTCTGGTTAGATAACAGTATTAATCATCAAACCTAACACTTACTTGGTTGAATGATATGATCTAATAACTGTTTTTAACTGGAGGCGTCCTGTATAAAATTAATCCTCGGTCAGATTTGAAAAAAAACATAAACCAAATTTAATCTTTAAAAGCCAATAATAAAATGCTGTACCTGCTGCTCTAAACAAATTCAATGACAACACCTCAACTGTCGCACTTATCAGATCCTAAACATTCCTGCACTGACGAGGCCCAGAGGGCTGTACCAACCCTTCAAACATGGTACTGAGGAGCAGCTTAACAAACACCTGCTCCTCATAGTGGAGGAAACTGGCCAGCTGCGCCCCGAGGGCCTGGCAGAAGAAGTCCGCCTCCACCCAGGAACGCTTCATCAGCACTTTCTCATCGTGGAACACCTAGAAGAGCAACACTTACTGTCAGCCCAGGATTACAGCTCACTGCCAGTAACACTGTCGAGTTACATCATAGTATTATACACAGGAAATGCATGCAAGTATATAATAGACATCTTTTCTTAATTTAAATGATTAGTTGGGGCTGATCTTTGTAGTAGTTTTGTAGTTAGTACTGTCACTTTACAAACCTGCCCTGATCCCCATCTAAAGAGCTGAATAACATGTGGATTAAGGTATTTGCCAATCAATTAGAATACACATTTTGAAAGAAGCTCAGGTCGAGCTTCTTGAAAGCAAATGTTTATTTAATTTCATCATTCATTTTAATATATTTGGACTGCTTTCTTACTTACTTTTAATGATCAAATGATTATTAATATATTTTTACAAAATAACAGACAGTAGAACGATAATGAAAATAAGATGCAGACCTTGTGGACATTAGATATTTTGGTGTGAATGTGAATTCCAATCCAACATTTACAGTGTTTAAGTTTAAGTGTGTTTCTGGGAGAGTGAGGAGCACAGAGAGAAAATGAGGATGGTCCAACCTTAAAACAGTGGAGCATCCCAGCGTGTGATTCCCACCCTGGAGGGCAGGGGGCGTAGGCATCAATGTGGTGCTCTGGCAGCTGGACATCGTGGTAGCTGCTGATGCTCTGCTTGCACACTGACAAGGCCTTGTGGGACTTGCAGTCTTGTACTTCCCAGTGACCCAAAGCAGGGCCGCCTGACATAGCAACACATCCGCCAGTACTGACTAAGGAAATGAAAAGAAAAGGATTTAAAAGAGAGGAGGGGTGGAGATTTCTAATAAACCAAACACCCAACTAAACACAATCAAAGTATACTGTGTTTACCTGGCTGGTGTTTGTTCCAGTTTGTGAAGGTGAGAGGCAGCGAGGAGCCATTGAGAGGAAGCCAGCTGTACTCTCCCCCCTTCTCCTGGTCCGAGAGGCCGATCCAGTAATACTTGCTGCTGTTTGTTCCACTCTCACTCAGCAAACTGTTGACAAACGCCTGTTCAAACCTGCCAGCATGAGCAAAAATAGATGAGAGGTGAGGAGAGAGTCAACAATGTTACCACAAATAAAACAGAATAAAATATTTGCTCAATAAGCCACCTGTTTTCCACAGTAAGGAGAGGAGCCCTGCAGTAATATCCCATCACTGCATCCTCATAGTTCTGTTCATGGCTCGTCACCGTGAAGCAGGAGTGTCCATGCCGTTTCCAGCCCTGACACATCAACAAAAAATAACCAACCAATCAATAAATCTTTACGTTTGGTTTATTGCAATACAATACAAAACATCAACAAATATTGAACAAAGGAGAAAAGGATTTCACAGACTGAAGAAACAGTACTGCAAAAAGGAGTAATATTCAGCAAAGAACACAGAGACAAATAGTTTGTTTAGGCAGAGGGTGAGACAACATTTCATATTTGATTTAGGGGTTTGTAGTTAGAAGACATAGAATCTTCAGCTATTCTAACGTCTTTGTGAGGCCACAGTTACATACACAGTGCTTTTTGTAACATCAGCATGCTAACATGCTAACATTGACCAAAGTACCAAAACTCCTGCTTTATTATTGGTACCCCTCTTGAAAACGTTTAGATCTACCGATTCCTCATCTGGAGCAAAGGTTATTTTATGTGTGAGTGTATGCGTGTGCAATTATATGCAGGTCTGTGTGTATGCAAGTCTTTGTGTTGGGGTGTTTTGACAAGTGGTGTCAATTTGCCCCCCCGCCCTCCCCCCTAGATCCGTCTACCCCCCTATCTTCGCACACTTAGGGTCAAGAGGTCTAATCAAACATGTACATGGAGACAAAACACAAGCTTGCTTTAAAACTTTGAGTGTCTGTAGTCATTATATCAACAAAGTGTTACTACGGTACACATACAATGAAAAAACTAGAAAATATAGTTTTGTTAGCTAAAATCCTAGCAGGAATCATCATAGACTCGCTGAGCATGTCCACTGATATTGTGCCTTCAGGGTCATTCATGGCCTCATGTTGGAGGGTATAAACTAGCCTGATGACTCAGGAGTCTGATATTCTTGTAAACAGAGTCAAGGAGCAACATGAACGCCAGACAATACGTCAGCATTGGAGTGAATCAGCTCATTGTGCTTCTGAACGGGCAAATTGCTCAGAAGTGGAGCTGGTGCGGGCGTGTGGCTCCGCCTGGTGCACGCCCTGATCTGTATGGAGCTATTGTGACACTGCACAGCACATGATCTGCTGGAAAATGTTTAAAATAAACCACTTAAGATTCAGGGGAAATAGACTATTTGTTTTGTCGCAGTGGTCAAACCAATAACATTTAATTTTACCGACGCAAAAATCTTATTTTCTTGCAAATGATTTCTTGATGTAAAAAAGGCTGAAGAAATGTTTCACTGCTCTTAAGTATTGCCTTATGCTTTTAAGTCACAACTGACATCAGCACTATTTGTATTCTTCTTAAAAACGAAATACATGAATATACAAATACAATAAGTGTAAGAAAACTGAAGCCAGAGTTGCGCCACATGATTTGTAAAGTATAACAAAATACAAAAATAAGTGGTAATCATTTAATACGTTGTTTTGTTTTTTGTGATCAAATGTTTTTATTTATAATACGTTGTTTTGTGATAACTTTCTCCTGCGAGGTAAAGGTTAAACGACACCAAAGTGTGGCACTGAATGGCAGTTTTCTTGCATCAGCTAGTAAATGTTGATCTGCATGTATGTGCATGTTGTTGTGCATTTCATGCTCCTACCTCAGGACACCCTTCATCCCAGGTTCCAGGCTGATGATCCGGATTCTGGCTTTCTTTTCTACACACAGCTGGCAGCCGTTCATCACATGCCCCTATGAGCCAGTTACCCTCCTGTAAAAGGGGTTAACACTTTACTCTCTCAACGACATCAGATAAGTGTATACAAACAATAACACATTTATTACAACGGACGCAATCAGACGATTAATTACTTCACAACTTTTCTTGATAAAAGATGACTAGGTATTTGATGGTTCTGGCTTCTTATTATTGACAGGTATGGAGATTTATCTTATTAAAAGCTTTATCTCTTAAAATTTGAATATTTCAATTGTTGCCAAGACAAAGAAGGACATGTGAAGACATATAGTGCTCACCCATTGGGCTTGCATCTTTTCCTGTTACACTGTTCATGTTATTTGGAGATCAAACAGATTCGGGATTTGTACCAGTGACATTTTTTACAATGCGTGACCCCCTGTCATAACTTCAAGATAATCCATTACATAACAAATGTGTAATGTGATCAGTACAGCAATGTGATGGCTTTGAAAGTAGTTTGCAGGTGCCAAAAGGCTTAAGAAAAGTGTGATTGGCAAAAGAAAACAATTAAATAATCAAAGGTTGAAGCCCTAAAAGGACTATTATATTCTTCCTTAAGGACCCACCTTCCTGTCTGCTTTGACACAAAGGGATGCATCCGTCAGGTTGGGAGGGGGGTGATACTGGTGCCAGAAAGTGAGAGTTACTGGTGAACCATCAGACCACTCTACAGTTGGAGAAAATTCCTGTTTCCAAAGTCCAATCCAAGCCTCCTCACTGTCACTGGAAGCTATGAAACAATAGTATTTAGTAACCCACTGGTATTTCTTATTGTGTCAATGACAAGCCTAACTTCATATATCTTTGTAGAATGACGTTCCTTACAGTTAGTCAGAAGGCTGAGCAGCATTTCCATCTCTGACAGGGAGTGAAGGCTGGTGAGGTTTGCCCCCTGAGAGACACAGGCCCGGGAAGACTCCTCCCAGCTCCCTGCTTCAGTCCCTGACAGCAGCCGGTAGCAGAAACCATTATGAGGCCACCAGCCATTAGCACACTCTGTTTGGATATACTGCCAGTTCTCTGAAAGAGGAAGAAGAATTGGGAGAGGAAATCAGAAAGGCATATTCTAAGACCAGAATAACACAACTTCACAGCAGACATTGTTTTGGTCTAACCACCAACGGGGAAAAAGAGAGAAAGGTCAAATGCTCACTCCCCAGGTGCTGTGCAGCTGCTTAGGCCAAAAGCTCCCAGATGTAAAAAGGCTTGTCGTACATTTTTCCTTCTGCTCATAATTCATCCCTGCTTCAGTCTGGGACACCTCTGAAGTCTGCATGTCAGGTATATATGCAATGTGTGTGTGCACTCACCCAGTGGCTCGGCTATGCGGGTGTCGTTAGGCGTCTTCTTACAGATGTAAGGCAGAGCGGACTCACAGGACAGACTCTGCCAGTGACCCTCCGAGGCGGAGTTGTACACCCCACACTGTCGGTCGTCCTTCAGCGGGCTGGCAGGCAGAGCTGATGGGATATATGATGTTATTAGAGCTTCAATATGTAGAAACAGCTTGAAGTGCAGACCCTTTTTTCCTCCACAAACGGTGCTCGGACATTATATTAGGAAGAGAAAACACATATATAGCATACACACATGCATATTTATGTCTTTTTATATCCACTTAAATTATGTCAATCAACACTCAATATCACATTTTGGATAAGCAGCTGATGTAGTTTCTCTGGCTCATGTATGCACTATGGAGTGGCCATGCACTGTACAATTGAAAGATTATCAAATCATCTCTTATCAAATGCAAAAAAACAGAAATGTCAAATATGACCTATTCAATACATTCATTGCAAATCTTCAATCTTACTTGGCGCTGAACAAATAATAATCCATACTTTTAGTGAAATTGACCAGTGATAGAGGTGCTCCATCAGACCACTGCCACCCCCGTCTATCCTTTAAATGGTTCAGCCCGATCCACACCATCGCTCCAACACTTGCCATTCGATCTAAGACAAGAAACAAACACAGGAATGCTGTAAGAGTTGTCAATAAATCTTTTCTGATTTCCATAGTAATTGAAAATATCCATCTCACAAGACAGCAAACAGATATAAATACAGAGCGATAGAACCTGAATAAAATAGCTGATAAGAAGGGAGAGTAAAACCCAATATGAAGTAGTATGAATAAAAAATCTGTGCGGTGTAGTTTCAGTGTAGTGTTTGTCGATGTAATACATGTACATTACATGTGTTTTGGTCCCTGTATATGTTTTCTAGCAGATGCCTACCTGTGATGTACCTGTGCTCTGCCAGGCTGGTGATGCTGAGCAGATTTCCCCCTTGAGCCTGGCAGGTGGACAGCGCCTGGCTCCAGGTCAGGATGGTGTACAGGTTGAACTGGTAACACGCACGCAGCTCCTGGTTTGACTCCCAAAAACGCTCACAACTAGTATCTACAAATAAAGCCATGAATTAAAAAAGGCATCAGGAAACAGATAATGACATAAGTCGGTGTACACAAAGTCTCATAGGAGTGAGTCGGGGTCAACCCAAAGGTTTTGGATGGGGTTGAGTTCAGCGCTCTGTTCAGGTCAGTCAAGCTTCCACACAAAATTCAGAAACTATTTAATTGGAGACATAGCCTTGGACATGTGGAAATAACAAGTTTGAAAAAGGACGTGTCCACTACAGGACATAACGTTTATTTACTCAGGTTCCCTTCTTACTCTTTCTGGTGCATCTGTGTATATGTCCAATTTACCTTGCACCGGACAGAAGCCCCATCTTTCTGCCTCATCATAGCGAGTGGTGGTAGCACACCAAGGAAGATGGTCCTCTCGCCCCTCAGTTGTGCACTCAGAGTACCATTTGTTGTTGTATTTAAAGGGCAAAGCGCAAGGCATGCCATGTGCATTTCCCAACAAAGTGTGGATATCTGCAAACAAAAATAGTCTAATATGATGTTAAATGTCAAACATCCTGTGCAGACTAGTCAGATAGTCAGCCAATGTTGGAAGTCAGAAGACAAGCAGGATGTGTCAGGTGTTTACCTTCATATGGATATGAGCAGGGCCCTCCTTTGGGGGTGTTGTACCTTTTCCACTCATGATAGGTGTTTTTCTTTACCACCACCAAACGTCCAGCCACAGCCACCTTCCACTGTGAAGCGCCGTACAGCATGTTTCCACTGCAGCGCCACCACAGCACCGGGAGAGCCATGTCACACTCAAACATGCCCAGAGGCTGCGTTGTGTCGGAGATGTTGAGGCCCAGGCACGTGCTGGTGCCCAAGTTAAAGAGGTGATGTCGGGACACCCACTTCCACAGCATGTGACGCGTGGGCCGCTCGCAGTCCTCTAGAACGAGGTTAGAGCGATCTACTTTGATGCAGCGTTTCAGAGGCTCACTCTCCAGGATAAACATACCCTTTTCTGAAAAGAGGAGGGGAAAGTGTAAGGGAGAAGATGGGTGAGACACATAGGGGAGGAAGTGAGAAATGGATGTGGAGGTGTAACACAGAGACAGAGGAGGGTGGATGGATTAATCTTGTGAAACCAAAAAGGATAGATACATATACTGTTGGGATACCCCCTCAGCGGGAAGCAAAAATGTCTAAAAAAAGTTCAGAAAGTAAAAGGAGACTTGAACTGGGACCGTTTCACAAGCAGCTTTAACATTTCACCTATTTTTTCCAGATGTTTCTCCACCAAAATGGAACAGTATTCAAGCGAGGTGAAGGCCTGAAGGAACCTTTTTATCTTCCAAAATGAATAATTGTCTTTCTGTACCTGGATACTCAACCAAAACAAGAGGATGTCAAATGAATGTGTTCAAATGACAGTGATGGAAACGGAGGTAGAAATAATTTTCCATACACTATTTATAACCAGGGAAGAATACCAAGACTGAATGTGAGGGGCGTATCAGTGACCGCATATCCGTTGTCTGTGTTTATTTATACTAGCATGGACTAAACCATAATATTAAAACACACGCACAATTAATTTCAGAATAATTCTGAATTTTGCATATCTTTTAAAATCTTTATAGATTTTAGTATAGAATATAAAGGCTTTTTGCACAAGCTGCCATACAAATACAGTAGCTTCTTTTGTCCAACCAACAGTACCAAACGTACAAATATTAACTTGAACAACTTTATTCAATAAATAAACGAAGGTCTTGAGCCAGTTTTGTTTGCCTGAATAACAGTAATGATTAATCGGTTTTCAGAATTCTTGCATATTAATCTTCTGTCAATAGATTAATCATTTCATCAATGGTTTCAAGTCTAATTCAACATTGAAAGATATAAATCAGAGAAAGTCAGTGTATCCACACATTAAAAGGTGTAATCAGGGAATGTTTGACGTTTCTCCTTATAACTCAATTGACTAATTGATAAGTCGACTAATCATGTCATTCCTTAACATGATCACATGTTCAATCATCTGCATGTTTCCTTATTCAGACTGCACCTTAGGATGTTTAAGTTACTTTGAATATTAATTTCTCTTAGGGCCAAAACCGTGTACTGCACGTTTTGAGGTTTTTTTATGAGATACATAAAGAAATGAAAACCTGTTGCTAAAATGTGAGCAGATCTGCAGCTAGCAAGCTTCAATACAACTTGTTACTACAATGACAGCATAATGCTTGTTCTTTACCCATGCTAGCCTACTCAGCAGTTATACAATTGTCTTCCATGTTATGTAAAAGGATAGGACAAAAGATGCAGTGATGGCTTATTTTGCAGGACGTCAGTAACATTTAAACACGGAAAACCGAGCAGCAGCTGCAGCCGGATGATTTCACTTACTGTAGAACTCCATAAGCTGTTTTTTCTCCAGGACCTCATCGTCTTCCTCGTTGACACACATGCAGCCTCTCGCCAACAACACTGCTACAAAAACAGTCGCCACGACAGTCACGGAGTCGATTAAATGAAACTGTGCTAACATTTCGACGGCGGGATGCAGTGTTGAAGTGCAAATGTCCGCACATTCCGAGGCTCCTGGTCGCAGAGAGTATTTTGGGGCTCGTTGTTTTCTGAAAACTTTGTGCGGAGTGAAGTTTTTCAGCGGGGGACCAGCGACGTCACGTCTGACGGAGGAACTGCTGCTGCTCTCCGGACTCAAAATGCATTACTGCCGGACTGTTCTCACTGAGAAAGAGCCAAGAACAACTTTATTTAGTCTGAACAACAGAGCCCAAATAAATAAACAGACAGACAGACAGACAGACAGACAGACAGACAGACAGACAGACAGACAGACAGACAGACAGGGGTCAAGGGGTTCCTTAACCAGACAGAATAGGACCCCCTGGACTAAAAACTCCAGTACTTTTACATAAAATAAATAATCTGAGAGACTACCAATGAGATAGATAGATATATAGATAGATAGATAATAGATAGCCCTGTTTCAAAAGTGCTGATTCTGTCTTTTACTAAAGATGAAAAGTGCAATGTACTCTAGGAGGAGATTCAGGTGATAAGGTGGGGGGGGGGTTACCTTGGTTGGTTATTGGCTAATGGTTACACAAGCCAAATCGTTATGACATCATAAAGTGGCCAAAATCTGATCTGCACATTTTCAGACAGGTTTATATAAATGGATCAGGACAAACAGTGAGTGAATATTTTTTCCTGAAACTTTCAGAATCTCTTTACACAGAGGGCACACATGTTTATGTATACAAGACATGAAAAAGTGGAGTTTTGCATAATAGGTGACCTTTAATATTTTTCAGATGCTATTGCAGTTTTATTCAAGTAAAATTGAATTAAATGCAGCATTGTTACTTGTAACATGTTACTTTCAACGACCGGTACTCCTTCACCAGAAGAATATATCAGCAAAGGTTTTCTTTATGTGGTCAATTCTCTGAAGACAACTTTATTTTTGCACCATGTGAGCACAATAAAAGACAAATTGATAATGTTTTTAAAACTACATTTCAACACAAACTCTTCTCAAACACAGGGCCAGCAGAGTGTGTAATAAAGCAGGATCCATTTAATAAGGCACTTTAGCCTAGTGGTGCAAGTTTGTAAATAATTAAATGATTTTAAAAAATCAATCTCCCTTCAGCATACTTCACTGCTCTACTATATACAAATTAACTTTATTTTGGGTTTCTTGGCACTAAATCTAATCAATAGTTGTCATCATAACAAAGAAGTACATAGTTAAATACAATACACCTTGATTGATAAAAGTATTATGTAAGAAACAGTCAAAGTTCCACTTTATTTATGTGCCATGCCGCTTAAAAAACTCAATTGTCAACATTAAAGGCTCAGCCTTATTTTACAATAAACCAACAAACACAAAATAAAAAAAATAATCCACCTGTATATAACTTTAGAATAGAACAACAAATGTTTCAGTAGTAGTCACTTGTAGCATAGACTCCTCCTTCCCAAGCTGAATTTTACAGTAGACAAAGTTAAAGTTTGTAGGATCTTGCATCAGGAAAGTGCAGTGTTTGACAGTACATCGACAGTGCACGTTTACAGCAGCAAATCATCACGTTATGTTGTCTGTTCACAGTGGTGTCTACTGTGTCACATAGAACATCTCTGATTCAACACAACATAGAAATTCAAAGACAAATTTAGTACAACATTCTTTCTCTCTGTGTCAAACACACACACACACACACACACACACACACACACACACACACACACACACACACACACACACACACACACACATATAAGTGCACTCAGATGCTGTTGTCTCCGGTTTTTCATCAGTAGTGACCCAGCGTAATGATCTTTTCTCTCTCTGTTTTCTTATAAGTTACATTTTTGAATGTAGACGTTGAGCTTTTGAACAAAGGGTTGGTCCCCTGAAGAGAGACAAAGAAAAAACACAAAGATATTCATAGTCGCTTTGAGTTATGAATAATTTAATTATTGTCACAATAAAAATAATGCTAGAATATTTTAGATCTATTGTGGTTCGATGGGATTGTCCTACAGTGTCGGACTGTGACAATCATTGACATGGACTAAGGTTTTTCCCAATGTTTTTTACCAAACTGCTCAATAAAATGTTGACAGTTCAAATCACGAATAAACTCAAATGTATTGGAGTATCACATAGACAATACTTCATCAATCAATTCATTGTGAGCTTCAGTGTTTTTATCAGATTTGTTGACACTAAGATAAATAAAGAATATTATCAGCGTTATCCTTCAAACAACATGAAGCTCTTACCGTCTGCCATTTTGCCTTTGCCCTCTCGGCCTCAAACTTTGCCACCTCTTTGCGATCGTGGACAGACACGAGCACCTTCCACACTGCCAGGAGGATCAGGCCGATACACACAATGGATAGGGAGACGCCGAGAATAATCATGGGGATGTTAGGTGGCTCCGGGCAACCTGGGACAGGGCAGAGGAGGAGATGAGACTCACACCATAACCCCCTCTTTTGATCATATTTTTTCTGTGTTTTTGTGAAACTTACCAAACTTCAGGAGATCATAGGCCGTGATCCCTGTCTCACCTCCTACCACATTAAATGATACCCAGCACTCATCCACCATCATCAGCTTGCATTTCATAGAAGGGCTCTTGACATAATCTGAGAGAAAATGTGAACATACATAAGCATAAGGATAACATGAATACATCGTATATCATCTTCCCTTTCAGCATTGTGCGGAGAATGTAAAAGGATATACTCGCCTCTGTTGTGCTGTCAGTGTGATTTCCATATCAAAGACTACAATCTGGTGTGTGTGCATGTGTGTGTGTACCACGCCATTGTATTTCACATCTGAAGCCTAAAAATTCTCTGTGATAATCAGATATACCTCTCCGCTTGCACAAGTATAGCTGGTTTTAAATAATCTCCCCTATAAAGGAGGACAGGGTCCTTTGGCTATTCACATGCAGTACAATAGCTCTGCCTGTACGACAAGGTAAATAATATGTTCCCCATTGTCAGATGCTGCCTGAATGGGCATGGATGGTGTTGTGTTAGAGAGGGGGGTATAGGCTTCAGAGAGACACCGGAGTCGGTGCAGGTCAGCATTCCTCCAAATCTCTGACCCATGGGGAAACTTAGCATGGCCGTATGTTTATACCACTATCAAAAACACTGAGCTGAGCAAGAAACACACTCCAGCAACAAGAAGCATTTACAGCAGAGTTATAGGATTGTGGTAAAAGGCTAAATCTAAAGATATGTATTATTATTTTCTGTCAATTTACAAAGCATGACACATTTTCTGTATTTATTAGATCAAAAACGATCTGATGTTAGGATCTTTATTCCATCTTTAAGAGGTTCAATCTGATTTTGCATGTTTTAGCTCAATAAAATCATATCATAACTTCCTTCCAGGTATCCAAAGAATGAATTTCATGCATTATTCCTTGCATAAACTTGCTTAAGGTCCTTCAGAGAGGAGATTTAGTGACTTGCTGTCATTGTTTTATTTTTGTCGAGGGCTGTTTTGAAAATTCTTCCATGTTAATCTCTTCCAAGAAACCAATTCAGGTTTGGCTGCCAAAAAGCCCCTACTGTATGTCATCATCAAACATTCAATGGTTGAATGTGAGGGTTATTTACTAGGTTTCAGATTACAAAGGTTAGCTCTTGAAGGCACCAACGCAAAAAATGGACACACCCAAATCGCCATTAAAAGTTAATGTTACCTGAAGAGAACAAAACTATTTCCTGTGATACATGAACTATCTGAGGTTTGAAGGATCTGAGAGCAGAATTTCACACTGTACTGACATGACCTGTAATACGTGGCTGCTGCTTGTGAATGGGCAATTTAAATCTTAGAAGGTATGGCATTTTGTATGGCATTTTAAGTATATTGAGGCTGTGCGATAATAATTTGATTAATTATCAAATTATAGCAACATAATTTCGATTTCTGTTTTCCAACTAATGATTAGAAAACAGTTGGTCATTATATTTTTGTAATGCAAAAAAAATGTAATGCACTACAGCTGCAACACTTTGTTGATCAATGGATTATTTGGTAGACAGAATATTAATCAACAATTTAAAATAAATGACTAATTGTCAGAAGAAAATGTGTTCTTAGCCTCTGAAATAGAGATTTCTTGCTTTTCTTAGTTTTTTTTACTAAATTAAACTGAATATCTTTGGGTTTTACACTGAAAACGCAACACACTCAAAGATATTACTTTGGAATGTTCTCAAATTCCTGACATTTTAAACCAAATTAATTGAAAACGAAATGTTGCAGGTACAGTTATAAGGAAATACACATTAGTTGCAGTCCTGTAATGCATAAAAGTCAAAGAGTTTGTTCGATATATTTTACTGTCCGATTGTCTGCAAAAAAGAAGTGTAAACTGTAGTTTACTCAATGGAGTCCTTTACCTGCAGTCGTGTTGATGGATATTTTAGGGACGCTGCACTTTTGATCACACAACTCTGCATCGTCGTCATCTTGCAGATGGCACTCAACACAGTCCCTGGTGTTAAAACAAGTGAAAAGGTCAGGTTTTCTTTAGACACGATAGTGTACCCCTCCGGAAACTAAGGTTTAATGAGGCTTCAATCAGTGACACAGTGAGCACAAAGAAATCACAGTTTTGGTCACTTATCACAGTTTTCCCAAGGCTTCACTGGCTCCCTTTCACCCTCGGCCTGCCCTTGAACAGTGGTATCAAATGGCTGTGACAGCTGCTTTACAATGGAGCAAGAAAATCTCTTAGGGCTGTGTTGGGGACATTAGCTGTCTTTTGATGTCACATTGAAGGTGTAGACACATGTGAACAAGGGGACCAGAACCTGATCCGCCTGTACTCAAAGGAACAGGCGGATCATGTGGCGCGAGGAGACAACATCTTATATCTTTCAGGTAAAGAAACAACAATTACAGAGGTAAATCCGACAAAAGCCTCTACATTACACCATTATTCACATCGAATGGCATGACCATGTTCTCACCTTGCAGAGTTACAGGCGTCTCCGCATGTTGGGCACTTCTCACACTTGTCCCCAGATGCTCCAGGTACCGAGCACACACAGTGGCCACACTCGCACCTCCCCTGCCCGCTGCAGAGAGCTCCATCCTCTGACATGCACGCATCAGTGCTG